GTACTTGCTTTGACGTACTTTTCATCCAGTAGAAGTGACTTGAAACATGTTTTACCAACACGAGCTTCTCCTTGAACTACAGCTTTCGTAAGATGACACCTCACGATAGTCTTAAGTGCTTCACGATAGTGACGCAACTCTACAGACAAATAATTATTTAAAATTGAAAACATAAATTAATAAATAACATTAAATATTATTAATTGTGTAAATTGGTAAAAAAAACTTTCCATAAATTTTTATTTTATTATTCATAATATGCTCAATGACATGTGACAGCTAAAATGTTCCACCATTCACCAAATGTCAGTAAAAAACATGCAATATATTTATTGAGTGATAATAATATAATACCTGGAGAATCTTTATCAATAATATTCTTTCCTAAAAATAAAAATAAAAAAGAAACTTCAAATAATGCAATACATATGTATATTATCAAAGCTTGTGTCATGTAAAACCACATAAGAATAGGTATAATTAATGTATTAAAATTATTTTAATTTTTAATAATAATAACTTACTGATATAATCAGCTGCTACTTTAGTACGAATGTCCTTAAGAGCAGCAAATAGAGAGAACATCCTTGGACCTCCTTCATAATCAACACTATCAGCTCTCTCTAACCATTTTACTAGACACTGCCTAAGACATTCTTGTACATCTCCAGGATAATCATCCTCAATAGCCTTTAGTGTGGAAAAACCATGTAATCCTAAAGCACGACCAAGAGGGTTCCATCCCTCCTGTGGAAAGCCAGCTTCATTCAATGTGTCAAGTACATACTGTAAATCATTAATGTCTAAGAGAGGACCTATGGAGTAATAGAACATAAATTATTAAAATCATAAGGATTGTGTCAATGGTCAATTAAATTATTATTAATTGGCCTAACCAGCGATTACTAGTGTGGGCGAGGACTATGTAGTTGAGTGTGTTGTCTGTCATTACCCGAGCATATGCATAGGTGTGGAAGCGATGGTAAAGCAGTCATCCTGTCTGTGTGTGTGTCCAAGCCAAATCTGCATGCTTTCAAGCCTCTGCTGCTTTCTATTTGAGTTCTTAAGAGCCTTATAATCAACACTGGAGCTAGGAAAAGTTTGTTCCTATCAGCCTACTGCTTCGTTTATCTTTTCCGAGGGAGCAAAAGCTAACAGAGTTGCTGAACTTGGTCAGTACTCACACAATTCTCTCATTGTGAAAGGAATCATAGAAAAAGACTAATGAATCAAAAGAACCAAGGCTCATCTTTCATTATAATGCAAGAAATTGCTCCAATCATCTTTGTTTTAAGATATGATAGCCCAAACATTCATACCTTGTG